CCTATTGGAGTTAACAATCTCCTGGATCGTTAAGGGGTGTAACCTTCACCATGTGAACGGTTTAAAAGTTCCTAAAACTTGTTGGCGACTCTTTTTCTCTAGCTTCCTTCCCTTTGGACGCCACCATGCTTAAGTGTATGATCATAGTGGGGTTCAAGTTTGGGGTAATGCTTGAAATATTCCCTACAAGATGCTATGTACATCCTCGATCTTTGTGCTTTCCTTTATGAGATGAAGCGCATAGCTTTAGACTTAGTTAACAAGCCTTCTGTGACCAAGTGGCCTGTTCCACTAGCCAAAATCCACGGTGTTAAATGCATATGCATCAACTACATTGATATTTTGCGTGTTTTGGTGGTTACAACTAGGGCGGGGTATCTGCTATTTAGGTGGCTGAGCTTCCTACAGGGAAGTAGGTGTCTTGGTTGACAGTATATCCCTTTGACAATGCTGGGATGGAGTGTGTTTATGGCCCTTTGTTCAGCACTATTAAGGCAGCAAAGCAAGATGCTGTGAAACGAGCTTTGAAGTTCTTGTGTGTTCGTTACGATGTAGATATAGTCGATTTGTACTATGGAAGGGGAGTTTATTATAGTATTAAGTGTGCATTAGCTAGGGAAAGCTACATGTCAGTTAAGGAAAGTGCACTTTGAAAGCAAGGAGATTTTCATCTAGCTTCTTATATTGGTGAGAGTGACTGTTTGACACCTCGATTTGGTTATTATAAGATTCCAACTCCTGTATTACCTCCAGCAGCCCCTTGTAAACCTAAGGCTTCTTCTTCATTTGGCCAACATGATGATGAGCATTTTTCCCCAATTCCTGATGGTTTATTTGTTCTAGTCCTTTCTGACTTAGAAACAGTGTTTAAGCGTCGGAAGATATATCTTAGTTTGCTTGGAACCTTGTAGTTCAACTGGAACCTTGTAGTATTTAAGTTTAAGAGTTTATGCTTTGTCAACATTGTTTTGTGCTTTGAGTATTCTATTGCTGATGTAGTTCCAGCTTACTTTCACCTTTCCTTGTAATGTTATCCTATGGGAGCGGTACCATTATTTAATGCACTCTTGTTGGTTTGAATGTAATGAATTATGTGTAACTTGGCTTCTCTATGGGTTTGTTGTAGTGTTTGTTTACTGTCATGCTTTAAATATTGAGTGCAAGGTTGTTATGATTACGTACTTTGATAAATCTCAATTGTTGATAAATTGCAGAATACAAGCTAATATTAGTCTATTACATTCCAGCTTATTGGCTCTGTACATCTTAAGATGGGTATGTATTTAGCATATATCTAAGTGGGGCAAAAAATATGGTTATTATATATTAATGAATATAATTGACAAAGATCATAAAACAAGTGTTTAAAAGTCACAACTGCCGTGTATATTATTGTCTCTAATCTTATGTCAGGGTACATTACTGCAGGCGTCGTTTGAAGCGCTCCTACATTAAGCATGTAGTGAATATACTTGGGACTCATCGGAAGTGAGAATTGACATATGATTAGGGACAAGGAAAGTAGGGAGCCGCCAACAAGTTTTTAAGGAACTTGTAAACCGTTCACGGATCATTATAACACAACCACGATAAAGGACAACAATAGACAACAATGATTGACTCGTGAAGTTACACCCCATTCATAATCCATGAGATTACTAACTCCATATGGTTCAGAACCATGAAAGGAGGATCGGGGATGATGGTACAAAGCGATTCATGGAGCCACATTCGCCCGTGTTGGCCTCTACTTGATTCTTATAGTGAAAATTATTCCTGCGATCTCAAAGACGTATAAACAAATATTCAATTCACTACAAACTATAATTATCCTAAATTGGTTGAATATTAATACACACATAATTCTAAAATATTATGATCACTTTGATTAAATAACACGATTAAAAGGAACCTAAACCGGTTGTCCAAATTATCTTATTAGTCGTGATTTTTTAATTACATATTCCCTCTAACATGCAATATGGTGATCAATAAAAAATATAATAAAAGAAACATTAATATTGGAAGCAATTCAACATTAATAACGTTAGTCAAATCAAATAAAGAATTATATAATAAAAACCCTAATCATGATACTACCAATAAAGAATAAAATTAAAAGTAATTAAGTGATTAATTACTCACTTTTCACGTTTCCTTGAATTGCTACATCATGAATAAATTTTTAGTAAATTCAATAAGTATATAAATCAAATTGAAACAATTAAATTAAATTAAATAAGTATTTCTGTTAAAAAAAAATTGTTGATTTGGTGCAAACCCTCAGTTAATTGTACCTTTCACGCCTTGGTTTAAGGATGGAACTTCAGGTAATGTATGGACTCCTTGGAGTGCTTAGGGGAAGTATGGTGAGAGAATATGGAGGCTAGTATTTAGGCTAAAGAGGGAGAAGAGAGTGTATGATTGTTGGTGTAGGGAGAAAAAGAATGATTCTTTTTTATTTTTATTTTATTTTTATTTTTTATGTCCCGAACTGAAAAAACAGCAGGGTATTTATAGACGAAATGAGAAGGGTTTTCCCCGAAACCCTAGAAGTGATAAGCACCGCGGAATAACAATAAATAAACACCGTTTCACGGCGTGTGCAAATACCTGACACAGCATAAAGCACCGTGACTTGTCAGCATATGCCGCGCCGTGGCGCTTTGCCTTGATGCGGTAAATTCATTTTTTAGGCGTTTTTAAAACTGTGACAACTTTTGATCAATAACTCGGAATAAAGAATATAATATATCGTTAGAAATATTATTAATTATAATTTCCAAATCAATTATAATCTGGTCAAAATATTTTGTAGATTTTAATATATGATCGTTTTAGTGAAAGGGTGTCGGTTTTGGGCCGAGTTTAGTGTTTTGCTCATATCTTCTTCGTTTTAAATCGGAATTGGGCTTATGATATACCGTTGGAAATATTATTTCAATTTCTATCCAAAAAAAATAATATTTGGATCAAAATTATAGGGCTAAAAAATAATTTCAGCTCTGTTTTGTGATGTGGACACGAAAAGTGGAAAATAAGTTACGGTTTGGGAAATGGGTTAAGAATTGGGTTGGTTTATGAAATATATTTAATTGAATATGGGTTTAAGCACTCCAAATATTAAATAATCAAACCGAACAATAATGGAGGTGAAAGTTTGTTCATCATTGGTTTTGGTTTTGGGGAGACATTTTTAGGTTTCTACAATTACAGATAAGCTTAAATAATATGAAAATTATGCAAGGCAATGTTAATTGTGCTTAATACTCACAATTTAAATGATTTAATTGTGATTTTCATATATAAAATGAATAATGATTTGTTAGGCAGTATTAAACTTGGTTTTCTTAATAGAGGGAGCAATTGTTGTTGTTGCTTATTTAAAGCTAATAAATGGAATATCAAAAACAAACTCAGTAAGGTTGTAACAGCTACATTTACTATTGCATTTAGTTTATGAAATTTAAGCATGCTTTGCCTTACTGCTCTGTTTCATGTGTATGTGGTTAGTGAAGTTAGTGAAAGCAGTGCGCAGGGTGCACGCAGGAATAACACAAAAACATCACAGTCCAAGGAAACTAAAAAAAACACGTGCTCCGAAAAAGAAAAGTATCCATGTTTTATTGATGGTTCTTTTGACTATTATTCCATGTGCATTAGACAATTTTTTACTTTTAAAATAATACTTATCAGAAGAACCAACTGTTGTTATTAGTCAACCACTTCCATCAGCTTCTTTACAAATGGAGGCTCCTCATTACTGTCCTAAATGCGGAGCTAAGAAGTTTCAGTATGAATGGATCCACTTTTGCTGTGGGAATGGAAGTATTAGAATTTCTACAAATGATTTTCCTGCTCAACTTCATCGTGTCTTTACATCTCAAGATAAGGATGCATTGCACTTCAGGTAGTATGTTCGCATGTACAATAACTTTTTTTCATTTTGCTCACTTGCAGGTGACTATAATGATAAGACTCACAAAGGAATTTATGTTTTCTTATTGCATGGTCAGATTTATCACAACTTGCCTGATTTGCTTCCTTAAAATGAAAAGCCTAAGTACATGCAGCTTTATTTTTCAGTTTGAAGTTATACATAGAAAAAAAACACTTTTCTTGAGGTTAGGGGAGACATAATAGACATAGAGATGCGGGTCACAAGTGCAAACCCATATGCTCGCTTCTTCAGATCATTAAGAGAACTGACCATAACTAATACTACACAAATTGTCATTAATCAAAGTACATTATTAGACTAGCGAGTGTATAATGCACCTTCAACTGGATGAGGTGGCTGCTATATGGCCTGATATCATGTCTTCTAGTGATTACAATAGTCCATATATAGTTGTGTCAGGAAAATCAACTAAATCTCATCGGATATATCACTATTATGGATGCTATGATCCATTACAGTACCTTCTTCTCTTACCATATGGTGATTGGGCTGGACTCCAAGTTTGCGAAAGATTTACAAAAGTTCATGGCAAGAAGCCTTGATGGATGTTAGTCCTATTTCTTCATTTGTTGTTCATTCAGAAGAGGGTTTATTAGAAGAAGAGGCTAAACGTAAGTATTTAGTAGAAAATAAATTGCTTTACTATTTCAATATAACATATATGCATTGGTGCACACCTAAACTTATTTGACAGTTTTTTTTGCATACAAGTTCAGCAAACTCTTTAGGGAGCTCTAACATGCATATATCTCCTAGAGAATACCATGCTTACAAGTTACAGATCAGGCAAGGGAACATGCTTCTTCGTGGAGGCCGATGTTTCCATCAATAAATTGTTGATATGTATGTCAAGATTGAAAACACAAGGCTTGATTTTTTTAGGAGGAATCAACAAGAAATAAGAGCAGATTTGTATTAAGGAATTTTGGATACTATCGAAGATAAGGAGAAAAGTGCGAACAATATTAGTCGGCAAGTTATATTGCCACCAACCTTTATTGGTGGGCCTCGTGATATGAAGAGGTGATATTTAAATGCTATGGCGCTTGTTCAGCGGTTGGGAAAACCAGGTCTCTTTGTTACTATGACATGCAATGTTAAATGTCCAGAAATAACAGCTGAGCTCTGTGATAGTGAAACTGTAGCTGATCAACCAGATGTTGTTACTCGTGTTTTCAAAAGCAAGGTAATTGCTCTGAAAAAACAAACCATGGAAGAAAAGGTTTTAGGAAGGTGGAATCTATGGTATATATATGTTGTGGAATTCCAAAAAAGAGGCCTACCACATGCTCACTTTCTTATTGTTTTAGAGCATGGGTATGGCTTACAGGCCCTTCAGATTATGATAAATTTGTTAGTGCAGAAATTCCTTCTATTAAGTCTCCTCAGTTACGCAAATTTATTCCAAGGCACATGATGCATGGCCCCTATGGTAGTTTAAATCCTTATTGTGGATGCATGAAAAAGAAAATTGGGGATCATGTTGTTTGTAAATATAAATACCCTGTAGGGAATATTTCAAGCATTACCCCTAGCTTAAACCCCACTGTGATCATACACTTAAGCATGGTGGCGTCCAAAGGAAAAGAAGATAGAGCAAAAGAGTCGCCAATAAGTTTTAGGAACTTGTAAACCGTTCACGAGGTGAAGGTTACACCCCTTAACGATCCAAGAGATCGTTAACTCCAATAGGTCTGGAACCATGACTGGTAGTTCGGGGATGAAGGTACAAACCCAACCTAAAAGAGATTGAACCTGTCTTAATAATAAGCCTCTAATTTATTCCGATTGTATTCATGTGCGCTTTCTGATTAACATGCAATCATTAGGTTTACCCTAAACCTGTTTAATCTATGTTGGTTGAATATTAATGCACAAACAAAACTATTATTGGCGATCAATTGAATTATAATCATATTAACCCTAAACAAGATTATCAATTATCTTATTAAGCGTGATTACAAGTACAAATTCTCTTTAAACATGCATAAAAGGCGTGATCAAGAAATAACAATAAAAATCAAGCAACATAATAATCAAATTATATATAATCATAATAATTATAAAAATGTCAATCATAATTGAAGTAATCATGTTAAAAATAAAGCATAATAATAACAAGATCCTAGGCATGACACTAACAATATTAATAACAAACCCTATCATGTCACTAAACATCAAAGATCAAAGCTTTAACCCTAACATGATACCAACAAAAATATTAGGAAGAGAATAGGAAGCATCATAATAATCATAATTGTCATATTTGATATTAGAGTTATTACCCTAAACATGATACTAGGAAGATCAAAACGCTCTAACATGACAGTAGGAATCATAATAACAACCTAGCATGATTTTTATATCATAATATCAATAAATAAATTAAAGCACTTACTTGGATGGCTCGTATCTCTTTCTAGTAACAAAATACACACGTTAGTAACTTCAAGGAAAATAATAATTAAAACAATTAAATTAAATAATTGAAAGAGAGATTTGGGACCAAACCCTCAGAAATTAAACCTTTAACGTCTAGGGCGAAGGCAACTTCGAACTTGGCTAGTTGTGTCTAGATCTTGTGAATGCGGATTTTTGTAGACAAAGCAAGAGAGAGAAGAATTCTGAAAAGCTAGAGAGAATAAGAGAGTTGATGATATTTGATGAGAATTGATGATTGAAAACGGAGGTTTTAGGAGGCTATTTATAGAGAAAATCAGTAAGATGAATAAAAAACGAATCAGAGTTTCAACGAGAATAAAACACGATTAGTGCCAAACGCTGGTCATTAGCGCCAGGCATTGAAGGTTAGCGCCAGGCGCCAAGCCTTGTCGTCAGGCGCTAATGCTTGTCGTCAGGTGCTAATAATCAGTTTCACGCATTTTTTGTTTTTAACATATCTTTTTATTCGAAAGTCCAAATAAATCATATAATGTGTCTTTCGAAAGATATTGAAGTCTAATTTTCAACCCAATTTGAATCAGATTAAAATCTTTTGTAGATAAAAAGAAATGGCCGAAATAGTGGAAGGGTGTCAGTTTTGGATAGAGTTTCATATCTAATTCATACTTTTCCGTTATAGCTCGGATTTAATATTATAATATATCATTGGAAAGATAATTTCAAGATCTAACCAACCATATAAAATTTGGATAAATATTATGAGGCACGAAAATAAAATATGAATATATTTCACTTCGTACAAAACAAGGATTATAAAAAGGAGTAGTTTTATTCAATTTCAAACTCTTTGAAACATAATTATCAATCCTTATAGCTTTAGGAATGATAATTAATAATAGGCCCTCTTCTAGATCATTCGGCCGCATATAAAAACCAAAATGGGCCCAGTTTAGTATTTTGGCCATAACTTCCTCATTATTCATCGGAATTGAGCTTATAATATATCGTTGGAAAGGTATTTTCAATCCTTATCAAACTACACCATTATTGAACCCTTATCATGGACTAAACTAAACTGTAATGCACGTTTTTAAAAAATAAGGTAAGAAAAGAAATATTTTCAAAAACAGAAAGAAGAGATATTTTAATAAAAACATCCTCATCACTAGACTTTTCACACTTTTGATTTGTTCGATAATCAAATGAAATGAAAGTTATTCATCACTGGGTTTGGATTTGGGGAGACACATTTGGGTGTCTACATACCCTAAGTCATATGTTGAAGAAACCACTACTAATGTTGATGGCTTTCCATTGTATAAAAGGAAAAACACATGGGAGCATGTAAGGATTTGTGGTTCCAATCTTGATAAGCGATGGGTCATTCCTTATAATCCATACTTATCATTGCTATTTGACTGCCATTTAAATGTTGAAGTGTGTTCTACTATTCAAGTAGTGAAAGACCTCTATAAGTACGTTTACAAGGGTCATGACTATTTTTCTTTTAATGTTGTTGGGGAAGGTAATGAGGGTGTTGATGAGATGGAGAGTTTTCAAGCTGGTAGATGGGTTTCTCAATGTGAAGCAGCTTGGAGAATATTTGGGTTTGATTTGTTTGAAATGACTCCTATCATGTTGTTACTAGTGCACTTGCCAAATATGCAGACTATCTACATAAGGTCTCATGAACGGCTTGATTCAATTGTTGAAAATGAGTAAAGAAGCAAAATTACTTTGATAGAATTCTTTAGCATAAATGCAGCCATTCCTAGGGGTATAAGTCTTCGATATACTGAAATGATTGCAGAATATAGACGGGTTAGCAGCCATAAGGTTTGGGTTAAAAGAAGATACAAAAAAAAATGTTGGTCGGATGGCTTTTATGGTTTCTACGGAAGGAGAGCATTTCTTTTTGCACCTGTTGCTTAGTAAAGTTGTCAGTCTTGTGTCATTTTATTATCTTAAACTGTTGATGGATTTTTATACTCAATCTTTCAAGAGGCTGCTATCAAGCAGGGATTGTTTCAGGAAGACAATGCCACCACTGCTTTCTTGGAGGAGGCAGCAACACAAATGTCTTCAGCAATGAAGTAACTCTTTGCAACCATGTTAATCTTTTGCTAGCCAAGTAAGCCAAATGCGCTTTGGTTGCGTTTCTATAGTTCATTGTGTGAAGAATTTAAACATAAATATCCTAATTGCTCATCTAAAGTTATGAAATTTATTGTGAAGGAATTAGAGAGTAGCTTAGAAGCCATAGGAAGGTCATTGGAATATTTTGGATTTGACCATTTGATTGATGAAACAGATGATAGGTTCCATGTCACAAAAGATGTTGCAGATGCTCTAGAAGCACCTATTCCTCAGGTAACTGCATTTCACAGCATTATGTGTCATATCCTAGATGGTGAGCCTGGATGTTTGATAGGCTTATCGCGTACCTAACAAAAATAACCTAACTATTCCTTCTAACTGTGTAGTAGGGCAAGTAAGGATCGAATCCCAAGAGACTATGGTTCATTCAATTAATCAGACTCAATTAATCACTAAGCACGTCACCAATCAATAATGGATGATAATAATCAACTAATATATTAAATAACACAATTAACTAGAGGAAATATTAATCAATAAACTAAAGCATCCAAGATCAAGCATTACCACGATTATGATTGATAAACTAATAAATCTACCCCCAATATATAAATCAATTGACAAGAAGAAAAGCAATCCCTAATAATAATACCAAAGGTCTCTTCCAAGTTATCAATGGCTTCCCAAATTAACTATCAAGCCTACTTCCGTGGAATCAAGCGAATAAGGGACATTAAACACCATGCCTAGATTCCTAATTATTCAATCATCTACTTCCGTGATGATCTTCAAACCCTTAATTGGAATAACCTAATCCCGTTAATACCCAACTTCCGTTGCAATAAGAACAAAGGGATGATAACAATACTAATTATTCCTAATCTAGTATTGGCATAAACACAATCAATTAAGCATGTCAATTGGGATTATTATTGGGGAATTTAAAGATCTACTTTATACATCAATCATAATCGAGCTTAGCAAGATCCCGGATTAAGGAAACTACTCACACATCATAATAAAATCAAAATCAAGTTCAAAAACAAGAAACAGTAAAGAAAACATATTTAGAGAACAGTGAATATCAGAAAAGAGTGAAGTAAGATAAATACCAATTACTCCAATTGAAAGAACTCAAATTGTTGATGAACAATTGATTAATCTGGGATTAAAAGATTGAAATTGCTTAAAGGAAATAAAACTAGGGTTCTTGAGAGTTTTCTAGGGCTTAAGGAGAAAAACTAATGAAAAACTCTCTTTAAAAGTTAATTACAAAAGGGTATTTATACCCTCAAAAGATAGAAATTCGGAAATAGCTGAAATCGCGCAATCTTGAACATCGCCCGGTCAGACCGGGCAAACCTCGCCCGATCGGGCGGAGGAAGGCTGCGTAAAATACGACAGTTTTCCTTCTTTGCCCGGTCAGACCGGGCGAACCTCGCCCGGTCGGGCGCGCGTAACACGTTTCCAGAATTGCATCTTCATAACTTGACTTCTTCATCGCCCGGTCTGACCGGGCGAAGCCTGCCCGATCGGGCGCGCGTTGCACCGTTCAGAATTGGGCTTCTTCCTGTGAACTCTTCATTGCCCGGTCTGCCCGGGCAAGCCATGCCCGGTCGGGCACTCCACATAAATTGCAGTTCTTGGCTATCAACTCTTCCGAATCTACTAAAAACACGTCCAATTGCCTAGAAACGCTTCATATTCCTGAAAAGCTTACTAAAACAATCGAATACACTAAAGAAGAGATTGTTAGCAAGAAATGGCTCCGTAGAGCTCAAAACCATATAAAATTACTAAGTAAAACCGGGGAAAACCATTGTATAAAACACGTATATCAAATTCCCCCAAGCTAAACCTTTGCTTGTCCCTAAGCAAAGCAATGAATAAATAAATCAATACTTCACCCCAAAAGCAATTCAAATCAATAAATACGATTAAAGGTAAACTCGACAGTTATGCATCAAAGTCAACCAATCAAATCCATCTGACTACTCATCCTGTCTGACAATAGTCAAATAGAGCAAACCACAAGAGCATATAGAATTCAAGACTAGTGTTCACACACTCAACTCTCATTTATGTGGCGAGTAAAAGATATACTCGATCGCTCTCCATCCAACTCCTTTAAATGTGAACAATGCCCTCCCAAACTCACGCACTCGTGTGTTTAAAGAAAACAAGCACTCAACCTAGCAGTCGACTCGAAATATATCAAATCATTCTTTGCATTGGAAAACAACTAATTTCACATTCACACAACTCTATGCACAAAGGTCAGAAGGTCTTCAAAGCTTGTAATGTAAGGCTAGGATAAAAGGTAGGAAATATTTGGGAAAATGTAAGAGTAAAGCTATGCTTAAGGGAGCCAAAATCCTAATAAATAAAACCAAGATCAAAATGAATTAATGACCAAATCATCTCCAACACAACTCAACTCTACCAAAAATTCACCAAACATCCAATTATATTAAAAATTTCCAACACTTAAAATTTCACTCATATATACAAAATATAAAATTATAGAACTTGAGTGAACAAACAAACTTTGAACTCTCCTTTTTTTTCTTGAGCAGCCTTCAATTAGAACACTTGAACATTGAAACAATTTTTTCTTTTGCTCTTTCTTTTCCCTTTTTTTTCATCTCACATTGGAATTTTTTCTTTGCACAATAAATTTCCAATTTTTTCAATCCACAACAATAAGAACAAATAAAAACTTCTCAAATCCACCCAAAATTGTGCAGATTACATGCACACTACAACTCCCTCACCTCACTCACTATTAGCTCCCCCAAGCCAAGCTTGGGACTAGTAACCAATGGGGCTTAAATAGGCTTGTAATGTGGCAAAATAAACAATAAAAGGGCACAAGCAACAACATGGGTAGCAAGAAGGGAACAAATGTATCTAATATCGTCTGAAAGCCACCTAGAGGAACAAATGCCTTCGTCCTCCTCAATGTGCATATTAATGAGTCATGCAAACATTACTCAAAGTTATAAACCAATACTCAACTTCATTGACATACCAGGAACTAACACACATTCCTAACCAAATCAACTAGTCAAGCACTATATTTACAAGTAGTTGGGCAAAATTGACTCATGTTAAGACATCCAAGTAATCAAACATCAAATCATGGCTAACCTATCCACAATACTCGTCATCATATACCAAGAGTTAAAACAATTTTCATGAATGGGGCACAGGGAAGCATGATTTATTATTCATTGGATCGTATTTTTTGTATGTTTTTTTTTTTTTTTTTTTTTTTTTTTTAAAAAAACAACTAAAATAACTACACTAAAATAAAACAAGAAAGATAAGAGAGATAAGGAGAGAGAGAGTACCACATGTACGAAGCAACTCCCCCAAGCTAAATGCGGCAATGGCCTCATTGCAGCGTAAGGAGAGCATAGGAATCTCGACGGCTCCTCAAAAAGAATCGGGTTGCCTCCCGCAAGCGCTTGTTTAGAAGGTCATTAGCTTGACCGTATTCATCCTCATTGAGTTTGTGGTGAGGAAGAGAATGTGATATCTGACTTTTCTTCAATAGGATCTCCCGCTCGATAGTGCTTCACCCTTTGTCCATTGACTTTGAAGGTGCCCCCGGTGTTGTTCCATAATTCAATGGTGCCATAAGGATATGCTTTGTAGACTGTGAAAGGGCCCGACCATCTTGACCTGAGTTTCCCTGGAAATAGTTTCAACCTTGAATTGAATAGAAGGACTTGCTCTCCTTCTTTCACAGAATTTGGAGGGGGAAGTTTCTCTATTACCTCTACTTTGGCTTTGTCCACCTCAATCCCTTTGTTTGAAACTACATGGCCTAAAACGATTCCCTGTTGTACCATAAAATGGCACTTCTCCCAGTTCAATATCAGATTGACATCCTGGCATCTATGGAGCACCTTTGTTAGATTATCAAGGCAAATATCGAAAGATGAACCATAAACAGAAAAATCATCCATAAAAACTTCCATAGAATTTTCTATGAGACCTGAGAAAATAGCCATCATACACCGTTGGAACGTGGCTGGGGCATTACACAGTCCGAATGGCATTCTGCGATATGCGAAGGTGCCATATGGACATGTGAATGTAGTCTTTTCCTGATCACAAGGGCGGATGGGGATTTGAAAAAAACCGGAATATCCATCCAAGTAACAGAAAAAGGAATGGTTAGCCAATCGTTCGAGCATTTGATCAATGAAAGGCAAGGGGAAATGATCTTTACGGGTGGCTTTATTTAATTTTCTGTAATCAATGCACATCCGCCACCCTGTAACAGTTCTTGTGGCAACAGGCTCGCCTTTGTCATTCTTGACAACTGTCATACCTCCTTTCTTTGGTACTACTTGTACAGGACTAACCCACTTACTATCTGAGATAGGGTAGATTATTCCTGCAGCAAGCAATTTGAGAACCTCTTTCTTGACTACCTCCATCATAGTTGGATTTAGCCTTCTTTGAGGTTCTCTAGAGGAGGCATGATCGTCCTCAAGAATGATCTTATGCATACAAAAAGAGGGATTAATACCCTTGATATCATCAATGGTATACCCAATAACATTTCTATATTTTCTTAAAACAGCGAGAAGTTTCTCTAATTCAATGTTATT